AAAMMAWTTTTTTTGAATTTTGAAAAATTTGAAACAATAAAAARGTATGTGTAGAATATGATTAAATGTATTATGATTTATCTGTATTGTGCAATATTATGGCAACCAAGAGAAAGAATGGCATGTATTGGTGAACACTGAAATAAAAGGCTATTTAGTGGAGAAGAGTTTTAAGTTGTAGAACATGCATGTAGGATTTCAMCATTTTTGTAAATATTGCTTACATACCTATTTTATATACATACAAAAGTCTCAAAAGACACATCTCCAGCATATTAGTTTTAGAGAAGGAAGTGGATATTTCTTGACATTGAAAGCAAAGAGATAAACACAATCAGTTAATGTGGTTTACAGTGTTCAGAAGACAAAACCAGGAGAAGTCTAGCTGTCTTTGCTCTTGAGGGACACAGTAGATGTTTCTACCACGGGTGGTGGTTTCAGCTATCACTGTAAAACCATGGCACCATCCCAGGGTAGATTTCTGTAAGGTGAGTCTATGAGATGACAAAATGATGCCCTTTAACGTGCAGCTTCCTGAATGTCTGGTTTGAAATGAGGGTAAATCAGACCATCGAGAGGAAAGGTGGATTCACCTATTCTTAGCCCTCTATGACTTGGGGGTCATTTGCTTGCTCTTCTTGGTACCTTCCAAGCATTGCACACCTGGGCATACATAGAAAATGATAATGTTTTCCAGGGTGAACTTACTCTAGGGGGTTGCCTGTAGCTGGAAGATATTGATGCTGAGCTTTACTGGCCCCTAGATCCCTGTGCCTCAACTCAATCCAGGGCTGGGTGGAGCCTCATGTTAGCATATCTCTAATTCTTTAGTGTTGTCCTCTGCCCACCCACTAGGAAGCTTTAATTCTAATTGGTAACTCTTTTTAAAGCTTCTATGTTGCATTCAAATTTTGATGACATATTTCATATTTTTGATATAGATGATAGGTTGTATATTGTTATGGAACTTATAGAAGGAGCCTCACTTGGTGAGCATTTCAGTTCTTTGAAGGAAAAACAACACCATTTCACCGAAGAAAGACTATGGAAAATATTCATACAGGTATGCCTTTATCTTCATTAATTTTTTCATAATGTAGTAAAGTGTCAAACTGATTTCTTAGAGACACGCAGTAGTCATCATTGGTTATACATATACTAGGGGAAGTAAAATTTGTTTTTATTCTTATTTCAAGTTATGCTTAGCTCTTCGGTACTTACACAAGGAGAAGAGGATTGTCCATAGAGATCTGACACCAAATAACATTATGTTGGGGGATAAGGACAAAGTAACAGTTAGTAAGTATAAAAATCTTAAAATTTTTCACTAAAAAATTTCTGAGTGTTATTCTAAAGTAGAATATTATTCCAGAGCAGTAGAGTAGTCTCCAATGATACTTTGGGCATGGATAGACATATTTTGTACATCTGCTGTCTGTGTCCATTAGCCACATGTGTCTCTTGGGTACTTAGAATGTTGCTAGCRTGGACAAGGAAAGGAATTTTATTGCATTTTTAGTTACTTTATATATCCATGTGTAAGTAGTGGCTACCATATTGGATAGCGACTAATCTAGTTCCAAATGGTTGTGTTGTATTTTACCCGTATGAAAGAATGAAGTACTTTTAGGATACTTGAGAATTTGATTCCCAAATCAATGGTTTCCAGGTTCTTTTCTTTTCCTTATAACACTATTACATCAACAAAAGCTTTTGTGAGCATGTGATTACAATGTGGTTTGTTTTGAACCATTTCACCATAGTTTGTGTCTCACGGGTAACAAATGTACATATTAAGGGCTACAAAAAAAAAAAAATCCAGCCATTTGTATTCTGCAACAATTTTTTCCCACAATATTTTAAAAATATGTAGCCACTGGGACAAACGTTGGATTACAAATTAGAAGGTTTTTTATCATCTTCACATTTGTTTGATTCTGAATCACAACTTAAATTTTTTTTTTTTTTAGTGTAGAGTAACATATGAACTTTCTTCTCTTGTGTTATGCTCATGGACAACAAGTGGGGAGACCCATGTCCATCTATGTCAGCTTATTAAAAAATTCTACACATATATTGCTGTACAAAGATTCTATAGAACACAAAAACTTGTACATAAATAAAATATAATGGGTTGCATTTAAAAATAAAATTATAAGTTTTAATAATTTTCCTGATCCTTTCTCCTCCATGGATTGCCTTACATACCCAGTTTGGAAACTAGGCCCAAAGTTGAGGTGACAGACATGACATCTAAAGCTGGATCCTTTACTTTTACAAGAAACCAATAACTCAAGAAGGTCATTCCAAATGTACACATTTTCCATAACCATGTCTTCATGAATAATGATTGATTAACTGTCTAGATTTTTATAAGTGGAACATCCTATATTATTTAAAAAATTTAAAAATCCTACCCCAAATAGAAACTATGGATGGCCTTTTATGCAAAGTTACTTGGAAATATTTCCAAGCTAGTCCATTGTGAAGTAAAAAAAGAGAGATCAAGTAATTGTGAATCCTCATTTTTGGACACACATCTGCTAAATCATCTGGAATTAATTATAATTTTGTTGACTATGAGTTTTTAAATTTTTCTCTTTTTTACAAATTGCATTTTTTTCCTTAAGAGTTTTTATAATTTATTTACATGAAAGGATCTTAATTTTTAAGATAATAAGGATTATTATAAATTGTGTATTTGAATTTGATAGCAAGTGTGTGTGTGTGTGTGTGTGTGTGAGAGAGAGAGAGAGAGAGAGAGAGAGAGAGAGAGAGAGAGAAAATCATAGAACAAATCTGTTTAATACTCTTAAATGCGTATTCAGGTGAATTTTTTTGAGTAATAGCTACCTATTTCACTTTTTTATTCAGATTAGTTATAATCCTCTCCTCTGGTTACATTTAAATATACTATTTAATCTTTATTGCAGTAGCCTAATTCTTTCTAAACTTAACTTTAATTAGTTTTTATATTTATGTTGACTTTATTTAGTAGTTTACAAATAGTAAAATAGTTTACAAAATAAAATAGGTAAGAAAGACAAGATTCTTGCCCCACCCCTTTGCAACTTCTAGTTCTGTTCCTCCAAAAAAAAAAAAAAAATCCCCTAAAAGTTTGCAATCATTTTAGTTTTTATTTTTTGTGTTTTGTTTTATTTGTTTGTTTTTGTTTTTTAGCTCTATGGTATTCAACTTCTTATTGTGACAGTTTAGGATATAATTTTCTTTTTTCCTATTCTTCCCTGCCAATGTATCCTGACAATACAGTTATAGCACAATTTCCGCGTAAGCTCATTTTCCATGTTTACTGCTACTGTATAATTATTGTTCAGTGTTAATAAACTTTCCCATAGGCCTTTTTGTTTTTCTTTGCGTTTATAATGGCCTTCTTTCTTGTTTGCRTTTCTAGTCTTCCGTGTACCTAGTGTTACTTCTTCCAGTATCTTCCAAGAGGATTACAAAAGCCCTCTGTGTATTATGTCCTTGTAGTTCAAAGTTGACAGTGACAGCCATTGTCCTAGAACATTTAGTTGCTAACTTTAGTTCTCCAGTTGGTGTCTCTGTTTCTTATGTCCTGTGTCTTTCTCTCTCTCTTTAAAAAAAAAAAAAAAAAAACAAAAAACTCTTCTGTTTCTGAAATGTATCTTCTAGCATTTTCCTAAGCAAGAGTGCTTTGAGTCATATTTTTTGGATGTTTCGTGCCCAAGACTATTTTTATGAGCCCTTCACACTTGACCCTCATTCTCAGGTGGACATTATTATCTTTCCAGACTCTGAGACATTCCTTCCGTGTTCTCGTATACAGTTTTGCTGGAAATCCAGTGCTGTCCCACTTCCCATTTCATCTCTCTGGAGATGTTCAGGATGCTCCCTCTTCCCACTGCTGTGGGTGAATCTTGTTTTTCAATGCCTCTGGGACCAGGAGTGCTCTTCAATCTGGAAATGTAAAAACTTCCGCCCTGGGAATTTTTCCTGYATTATCTCTTTACTACTTTCATCCTGCTTTTCTTCTGTCTCCTTTTCTAGAACTCCCATTGTCCTTTGGTATAATTTGTACTAAATGATCTCCTTATTTTTAAGACAGTTCTTCTCTTAGTTTATATTTCTTTGTCTCTTTTTTGAACTTTAGAATTATTTCTTTAACTTCAGTTTTTGTTCTATTGAGTACTTAATGTTTTAAAATCACGTTTTTACTTTCCAAAAAAAATTTATCTGTACTTTCTTTGTCCCATTTCCATGGAATTCTGCTTTCATTCTCTTAGTACAGGAGATATCTAGATAGATAAATAGATAGATATAGATAGACAGATAGATAGATGTAGATATCTATCTATATATCTACATCTATCTATGTAGATATCTAAATAGATATATATCTATATTTATCTATATAGATATAATCTATATCTATATAGATATCTATATATCTATATTTATCTCTAGATATCTATATATATGTAAAATTTTTTTTCCCCTCGAGGCTTTCTATTGTTTCTGTATTATCTGAGCCTTTGTCTTTCTCTTTATCCCTCCTCTCCATCCTCAGTCTGAGCTCTTTCTCCTCCTRGAAGACATACTTCTCAGCTGTCTGGTGATCCTGAGCTGGCCTTTAATAATCACGAGAGTGGCATGAAAAGGCTATTGTCAGGCCTGAGTTCCAGTTGAGGCCTGGTAGACTTCATCATAGCATGATGGAAATTTTCCTCTGGAGGCCCCAAGTCATTATCTAAGCTTCCAGAGAATGGTCCTCTAGCATATTGCCCCATGCAGAGGAATGGACGTGTGACTGCTGTCCTTCTGGGAGCAGTGTGGACMAAGGGGGTTTAAGGGAACCATATTCAGCTGACTTTCAGTGAATTCCTGTGGGTCCARCCTTATGCTGCTTGGTACCTTGCTAGTTCAGCTTGTTTGGAAAAGTAAATCTGTTTTCTGTCGGGAGCAGAGGGTACCTAATTTCCTGACTGTGTGGGTGTGGAAGGGSCCCCCAGGACTTGATCTCCATTCCATAGCCTGGGCTCTTTGCTTTTTTTTCCTCCTCCCTGGTGTCCCTGGGCTCTGTASGGTGGATGAACTCCCATTTTGGCATTCTTGTTCCCAGACCCATAGACCAGGACTTCTGCTTTGCTGAGTCTGTCACTTCCCTGCCCCGACTACTTTCCATCTTCCAAAACTTCATTGGATTATTTTATCCTCTGCTACTGTCAAGCTCATTCTCATTGTCCTTCTGTAAAGCGAGACTTCCAAGTAAACCCCTTCCTTTATTTTAGCAAGGTTGTGAGATTTTGAAGAGGTAAACATATAAATGTTCAATTCACCTTTTAATGCAAAAGACAGACTAGATGCATTAAGTCTATTAGGCTTAATAAAATAAACCATTTTATATTGACTGTCCAACTTTTTAATTCTGTCTGTCCTCAAGTCATATGAGGCTCCCTACAAAAAGTTACTTTAGGTTATAAAAGTAAGAAAACTTTTAATTTTTTTTAGCTTGACCCTTAATTGCATTCTACTCAATCTTATTCTTACTAATATTTTCAGACTTCTATTTAGAGGTTATTAAATTAAAAATTATTTTCAATATTTAAGGCTTTTTAGTGAGGCAGAATTGTCCTACTTTCAAGTAAAGAAGCAGTGGTAWATACAGTTTAGTCCAATTTTTCTCTGCTAAGCCAATTGTATGGCCAGGGATTTTATGTGCCACCATTATTTTCAATGAGTATAAAATTATTTTATGACTAAAAAGAATTCRCAATACTTTCATTTAGAAATATTTTAAATACTTTGTATACAACCAGAGATATGAAAACTTGTGCTCTACATGTGTAATATGAATTGTAATGCATTCTACTGTCACATATAACAAATTAGAATAAAAAAATWAAAAAAATATTTTAAATAGAATCATGTTGATATTTTGTTCAGTGTCTATCACTATTGATAAAAATATRGCCACTAGACTTTTATACTTAAGAAGGCTTATGGTTACATTAAAATCTTAAAACGTTAATTTGAAACTAAGTATTCCAAATTCCCRTATTTGGGGAGGTTGAAGCATACATAGTTGCAATTCATAAAACACATGAAAACAGGCTAGCTGCCWTGGGTGAGAGCATTTCACCACCACCAGGGGGCAGCCTTGTCCTGTTTTATTTTTTTTCTCTTCCTGTGCTGGAAGGTTTAATTGCTTCCAGAAAAGAAGCACAGAATTGCCCAATGATGTTTGAGCTGCACAGGACCAAGGACAKTGAAAATGTGAACAGGATAAACAAAAAATAAGGCTTTAAGAAAGCTAAAAA